TACAGGTTCATCTTTGTTCTTTGGTTTGTAGTTGATAGCTAATATTGATTTGTGTAGGTTGACTGTAATTCCTGTCATTTTGTAAAATGAGTTAGCTGTATTGATGAGTGTTTGTAGGTTTGGTTTGTTTTCTGCTATCTATAACATATTGTCCATATATGTGAATATATTTTGTTGTTTGCTGAGATATTTGTGTTATGTTTGTATTGTTTGTGGTATTATTATGCTAATTGTATAGGTAGAGTAGTTTTTGTTAATCCAAGTTAACAAGGGGTCGTAGTATATTTTCTATAGTAGTGGAGTTATCATTTCTCCTTGGTCTATACTATCTTAAAAGTGATAGTTGTTAGTTAGTTCATGGTTAGTGATAACATTGTTGTGTCTGTAAGATAGTATATTGTTTATTATGTTTGTTATAAATTCTGATATTTTGATATGATGTAGTGCTTTGATTAAGAATAGTATGTGTACTAAGTCATAAACCTTGCTCATGTTCTGCGATAACAACTATAATTCTTTTTTGTTTGTTTGGGCATCCTCTATTATGTGTTGAAGTGTATATATTGGTATTGCGGTAGATATATTTGCTAGAGCTACATAGTTGTTTAGGTTTAATATGTTGTATTTGGATAGGATGGAATCGAGTCTTCTTACAATGATTTTTATAAGGATTTTTCTAGTATGTTCAATCAATGTAATTGGATAAGTCTGGTTTAAGTCTCCTGTAAATACTGCTTTTTTTGATATAGGATATATTGTACTATATTTCTATGCTATTGGTACATCATGTAGTGTTAGGCAATTATTGAAGAAGTCTAAAATTATAGCTTTTGCTCAAGGGCTTAGATGTTTTAGCATTTCATTTGATATTCTTGAAGGTCCAGTAGCCTTTGTGTTGGGTGTTTCTTTAATTATATTTTCCAGTTCAAATAATATAATCTTTGTTGTAATTGTATTATACCATGTTGGATCTATTGTTTAAATTGGATTATATTTATCTGCCTATTCTTGCTATAGTTCTGTTTGAGTAGGGTTTGACCTTGTCCAGTTTTTAAAGTGTTCCTGTATTGCAGTTTTAATTTCATGAGGTTCTGTAATTATATTGTTAAGTGTTCAGATATTGTGTAATATTACAGGATCTGTGTGTTTTTTAAGAATGCTTTTTATCATTTTAGATATGTTGTGTTAGAAGTTTTGATATCTTTTTTTAATACAGTTCTTTATGTATTGATTTTTGCTACTTAGTTTTTTATATTTCTTGCTGTTTTGATCTGTTGTTAGACTGTCTTGAGTATTATATCTATTTTTTTAATAGTTGTATTGGGTTGTATTTGTATTTGTGTATTGGATAGGTTATTGGCTTGTTGTATAAGGTTGTATATTCAGTCAATATTTGTTGCTTGTTTGTATATACTTATGTGTCTTTGTGCTTTGTTTATATATGTTAATGCCTTGTGTAGTTTGGTAGCTATAAGAGAGAATAGGTGGTTATTATTTTGTGTTGCTTTGCGTATATATAGAATGTGTTTGTTTGCACTTTGTTTAATGCAGTTTGCTAATATGTGCCATGTTTTGTTAAGGCTTTTTGTATTAGGGCTTAGTGTATCTGTTTTAAATTATGTAAATTTTGTTTTAATTGTGTTTGCAAATTGTTCTTATGTTTCTGTATTCATCATATCATAATTGTAAATTATTCTCTTTGTTTTGTTTTTACTTCTTTTATGTATATGTGGTATGTTGACTAATGTGAAAATGATTTTGTGATCACTGTTTGTGATTTGTGTAGTGTCTTTTAGTGTTGGGTTGTGGAAATTTTCTATTGAATTTTTTGGGATCTATATCTCATCTATTTGACTGCTAGTTCGTTGTGAACTCCATATAGATTGGTTTGGTAATAATATGTTAATTAATGATAGCATATTTGTGTTTTTTAGATACTGTATTAGAGTAATCTGTGTGTGTTTTTTGTTAAGGTCTAGGTTGAAGTCTCTGAGGATAATCAGTTTGATCTTTTGTTTATTTGCTTGTTCTGTTTATTCTATTATTTTAGATTGAGTTGAGTTATTGAGTTGTTTGTTATTGCAAGATAGGTATGTTGTTATAATTCAGAATTGATTTTGTGTAGTAGGAATATATCAATACTAAGTGCTGTTCCTGAGTAGGTTTGTATATTATGTATATATAGTTGTAATTTTTTGTGTAGTACTATTGCGATTCCCATGTTTGATTCTTGTTTTTTTGCTATTGTTGCTGTGGTGTTTGATGTGTAGAAGTAATATGTCTCATTATGTAGTTGTAAATTTGTATATTTTGATTTTGTGAGCTTGATTTCTGTTATGCTTATTATATCTATATTTTTCTTTTTGCAATAGTCAAGCCATAGTTGTCTTTTAATATCATCATTGAGTCTGCGTATATTATGTAAAGCTAAATTAATAGTATCTGTTTGTATATAGTTTTTTATATTATTTGAGTTAGTTGTATGTTTGTTTATATTATAGTTTTTGTATATTGACATAATTATACAAAGATGTCCCAAGTTGGTTTTGGAAAAAGAGAGAGTTCTAGTATATAGTCTGGAATTTGTGGTATTTTGAAGTATTGTTGAAGGATTGCTATAGTAGAATTGACTTTCTTTTGTTATTTGATAGGTACGTTAATGTAAATTTCATTAGTGATTTTTTCAAGTGCATCTTATAGTTTCACTAAATTTTTTGGTATCATTGGCTTTTTGTTAGTTTTGATCTCATGGATCTCATTAGGTATGATAGATATGTTGATCCAATCTAGTGGGATATATTCAAAGTAGTATTCTTCTCTAAGAAGTCTAGCTGTTTCTACCAGTATTCTGAATGATGTGATTGGTAGCATAATATTAAATGCTTTGATCTCTGTAGAATCTAAAGATAATCTTGGTTTGTTTGTAGGCTTGGCTATTAGAATTGCCTTGTTTATAGAAAAGTTTATCTTATATTTTGTCTTTGTTTCCTTAAAGAATTCTTGTGCTATTTTGTTATCAGTAATTGGATAAATGAATTGGGTATATAGTCTGATTTTATCTGAATCCTGTGGTAGTACAGGCTTTTATACAAAAAAGTCATTTGGTATACTTCTAAACTTGTAGTATTTTCTAAGCATTTCTGCTATATTTCTGATGTTTGTTTCTTTTAATGATGGGTCAATAGGGAAGAGTTTATAACTCCACTATTTAGCTTATAGTAGATTAGTAATAGAGATTCTCGTTCTGATGGTAGAGCAAAATAGGTTGCAGATATCTGGGTAAAACTGTAGTGATCGATAAATTTCTTTTTATAGAATCATAGTTCTTTTAGTTGTTTTGGATCCGTAATAGAGAAATAGATTTTTAGTTCTTCTTTTAATTTTAATAGTTTGTCTAGAAGTTTTGATAGTATAGTAAAGTAGGTGTTTGGTAGACTAGAGAAGTTAAAGATTACTCTAAGAGAGTTAACAATTACTTTTGTTTGAAATCTTTGTTTGATTGGTAATTTGAATAGTAGTATATTCTTGGTTTGGCTGTCTATTTCCTTTGAGATTTCAGATAGTTGTTGTTGTTAGATGCTGTATGCTTGGTTGACTACTATTTGGATTTGTTTATAGTCTTGAATAGGTTTTGCATGGATGAAGTTTTGACTATATTTAATTATTTAGTATGTCTTGCTTGGCTGGAGTTGTCTAAAGTTGAGGTTTGTAAGATATTCTATTATTAATTTTTGTCTTAATTTGTGTTGAATTATATTTCTAGTCTCTCTGTTTGTCAGAGTGATATTGGGTCATGTGTTTTGTTTGTTGGTGGCTGTGTTTGTGTATCTACTATATTTGTGTTGTTTTGTGTATTTACGTTTTCTGTGATTGTTGTATTGTTGTTGTTGTTATTTCTTGTTATAGTTATTGTTGTATTGTTTTGTATAACGTATAATGTCATAATATATTTTGGCAAGGTAAGCTGTTTTGCTCACTTTTTGTCAATTTTTTGTAAGTCATAGAGATGGGTATATTGTTGTAGCAGCGTCTTTTACTTTAAACTAAAGTTTGTTGGTTGTTATTTGTATTCTGTGTTTCTTGGTTATCTATACTGTAGTCTATTAGTAGCTTAGATGCATATACTGATATATATGTGTTTTTTTCTTCTTACAAACTATTTTCTTCTACCAAGTCCGTTGAGGACTGGTTGTTGTTGTTTTTAGTTTTTTTGTTGTATTTTTTGTATTGTTGTTGTTTTGTTGTTATATTAGTTGTTGTATTAGTTGTTCTCTTATGTTTCATACTAATTTTGTCTATATTCTAACTTTATTTAGATCTTTTTTAAATATCTTCTTTCTATTTTTTGTTATTTTTTGTAATTTTTAGGTAATTGTCAGAAAGAGTTTTTTTATAACACTTTTGACTTTTATTAAGGGTAGAGGTATGTAGATCATTTGTCATATAATTTTAGTAGTACAATAAGATTTATATAGAAAATAAAAATATGCTACTAATAAAACTTCTTATAGCTGTAATTATTTTTAATCAAAATTTTATAATATATAGAACAAAACATCTTTTTTATGATAGTAAAATTTTAAGGATACGTATCATTTCACCAACAATCACTTCACCGACACCTCGGTTCACCGACAATCAATTCACCAACAAGTTTATTTCATCGACAACTATTTTAACGACAGCCCATTTTATCGACAAGTTTTTTTAAAAAATCGCACTAACCTTAACCTAAATCTAATCTGACCCTAACGAAAATGACCAGAATTATTTTGTCGGTGAAATGATTGTCATTGAAATAACTGTCGGTGGAATAAACTTGTCTGTGAATTGACTGTCGGTGAAATGGGCTGTCGGCGAAGTGATTGTCGGTGAAATGAGCACCACCCTTTTATTTGTTATCTTTAGAATAATACATTTTATATTTTCTAATAGTTATAAAAGAGAAAAAATTATTTTCCTTTATTATCAATAAATATAATTTTTATTATATCTGTATAATGTCTTTTTCAATAACCCAATTAACTATAATTGATTTAGATGAAGATAATTCTTATTTTGATTTATGTAATGATATTTTTTTAGGTCACCAAGCTTGATTAAATGTTAATACTAACTATCCACGAGCACCTACTTTAATACTTACTTCTTTATCAGAAAATCAACATCAATCAACATCTAATTTAACCTCTTTTCCTCCTTGGCAACCTTCTTATTCTTTAATTTCTCTTAGCCATCGATTTTAAACTGAAATTTTATATATGTTTCTATATGTACCTTGTTCACATTGCTCAATTCTCATGTTTCCTGCTCAAGCAAAGTGGGTTCCTCACAATATTGATATAGATTATGATCTTTGTCGAGCTTTTCTACATTTGTTATTTACTAAACATCCTAATAAAGAGAATTATATTGCTGTATGTACTTTATGTATATCTATAGCTAAACGTCACAATGCTCTAATACTTACTCCTATTCCAGATGCTCTAGCAAATGTTCCGATGTTTTATCAATGTTAGCTTTCACCTATTCACCTAAGTTGTTCTCTTGGACATACAGAAAATGTAAACCATTTTACACATTTTCGCCATCTTACTAGTGCTTTTGGTCTTTCAAAAAATATTTATGCTTTACAAATTTATACTGGAATGTTAGGTGCTATTCTTGATTCTGCACCTAATAATAACTGGTTTCATCCATCTTTACTATATGCAGCTAACTGGTTAAAAATTAATAATCGATTCTTTAAACAATTTGATCGAATATTTTCATCAATTATTATTACACACCCTCTACCTGTTTTTCCTACAGCACAATTAATTAATAATAATAAAAATATAATATCTAATACTACTCCTTTGCAATATCATTCTAATATAGTAGTACCATTATATGATTTTGACTCTGAAATTCATAATGAAGATTTTCATTATAGTAGACTCTTAGCAGGTTTTATTACAAATCCTAATAATACAGAGTTACCAATTTCATATAATGATCCTAATTTAGAAGCAATACTTTTTCCTGATCTTTTTCCAAATAGGCATGGTCATTGAGAAGAAATCATTAAAGAATTAACTAATCATCGTAACTATATTGATACATATGCTAAATATATTAAGCTTCGATTATTATGTCCAGATCCTCGATTTTGTCTTCATTGGTACTGGCCATATTGGTCTTATATTAATTTAGAAAAATTACGAAATCATCAAAATAGACAACGTATTTTACATCAATGAAATATTGATCATCAGCAACTTTCAACAATTGCAGATTTAATTAATCGAAGTATTTATAATAATCAACCACTTATTAATAAAAAATTAACTACTACACTTCCATCTTATATTCAAACTGGTGATACCTATTTTTGTCAACGTCAACATTCTATAAATGCAATGGTTCAGAGTTTTGGTCTACCCCAAATTTTTTATACAATTACTATAGCTGAAGGTTTTTAGCCACATTTGTTAAAACTTTTATCACATACTGATGATTATTGCAAATTACCAACAAATCGTCTTTTACATTCCTATTTTCATTACTATCAAAGATTGAATTCTGTTCGAAATTTGTTATGGAAAAATTCAAACCTATTCAAATGGGGTAAATGGTTACATCATTTTGAACGATATGAATTTCAAAATCATCATAGTATATATACTCATGGTATAGCTTATCTTGATATGTCAATTCCAAATTTAATAGAAAATAATATTATTCGTACTAATCTTTTTGATCCTCAAACTGAACAGGTTCTTTATGAATTAGTTTGTACTCATCAAATTCATTGCTGTTGTCCTAATTAATGTGGAGGACCACCTCTCTCTGGAGAACAATGCAGAAAAAAATTTCTAGCACCACTTTCTGATTGCACTTATTTTAATCCTACTTATTTTCATTATATTTATCATCGTACTAAAGAAGCTGATCGGTGGGTTGTTCCTTATCATGCACCTACATTATTATTATGGCAAAGACATTGTAATTTTCAATATGTCACTTCTAAATCTTTTGCAAGATATATGACAAAATACATTACCAAACCAGTAAGTTCTGATTTATTTAGAATAACTGAATATGATACCTATTGATCTCATATCTTAGCTAGACATCTTGGTGCAATGGAATTAATAATTTTTTTAATTAGAGACTCTATTTGTCATTCTACTATTGCTACAGAATATCTACCAACTGCACCTCCTAATGTGCGATCAAAGTGTATAAAACCAATTTATTTATTAAATAATGAAACTTCTAATCCATACTGGGCAGATGCTATTAATAAATATTTTTTAAGACCAATTGATTCACACTTTGATAATATCACATATTCATATTATCATCAAAATTACAAATTAAAATTTAATCAACCAAATTCAAATATTATCTATTAGATAGATCAACAAAATAAATTTGTAATTAAAAGAAAAAAGTCAATTTTAATACTATTTCAGTATCTTCCAGTCGACGCTCGAGCATTCTTCTTTTATCAACAACTCCCGCTCCCTCTACCTTGTAGAAGTGAAGATGAATTATTAGGATCATATTCAAACTATCGTGATTATTTTCAATCCTTATTTTCTAAGCAATTTAATCAAGTTAGACAAAATATTAATCAAAACACATCAGCAAGAATTACTAAATTTTTTCATAATTACTGTCTACAAATAG